TGAACAAGCCCAGCCTAAGTTAGAAGAACCAGCCCAGCTCAAGTTGCCAACCCACAGAATCATTAACTAAATAAATTACTGACTTTTTAAAGCCATCTGGATTTGGGGTAGTTTGTTAGGCATTCAAAGCCAGCTTGTGCATCATTTAAACTTATAAAGCAAAATCAATCTTGAGAAATAAATATTATGCTTAAATGTACCAGATATAACTGAATTGACTGAATTAATTATTACCTTAGTACCATCCTAGATTTAAAACTACAGACTTACAACTTGAAGATGAGACATTAGTTGGTTATTTGGAAGTCAGCCTGTCTGTCTGTCTCTCTTTTTCCCTTTGGAAGAACATTTCATACTCCCCCTTTCTTTTCATGCTCAGTATTAACCAATAGTAACTGAGTAATAAATAAGGACTTGATAAATTTTGGTCAGGTATTTTGACAGTATTAAAAATCTAGAACCATTTTGAAGAAAACAATTTCAGTATAGAAAATCTAATGTCATTAAATCCAAAAGTCTGAGCAAAAACCATTTTACTATGTATCTTCATCTTTCTCTTGATTCACTCTTAATTAACAACCATATAAGTAAACAAGCATCTGTTACAAGCTGGCATAGTCCTAGATTCTACTATGGGGGAAATGGAGATAAGTGTCCTCCTTTTATAAGCTTATAATTTTTGGGGGGGTGTCAGACCTGTGACCTTGAATTATAAATTTTGAAATATGACCTTGAGCCTTGAATTATAAACTGTAATTCCAGGCAGAATAGATAGGGGCATAATAACAGAAGTAAAAGCAGCAAGTGAAGAGGATAATTATTAATCTGACTGAAGAAACTGAGAAAGACTTTATGGAATAGTCGGTTTCTAAACTACACTTTGAATGATTGATGACATTTTCATCGGAAGAGAAGGTTGAAAAAGACATTCTGTGCTGGCATAACAAAACAAATGAAAACATGGAGGCTTTTGAGTATGTGATGAACGTAAGCAATTGGGATGGCGAGACCCAAGGGTTGAGGGGCTGAGGGGTGATGGTGGAAGATCATTTGTTATATGGTGACCTACTTCATAATTTTAAGAACTAAATGTAAGATAAATTAGAGATAACAATACAACTACCTTTTGAAAAGAATACTTTGAGGGGAAAAAAGTAGAGCATTGACACACCTAGAGGGGAATTCAGGGGAAAAAATGTAAAGAAAATATTTTTTTTACAGCATGTTTGTAGACTGAAAACAATGATCCAGTAGATGGGGAAAGACTTAGGCTTGTGGAAGAGAAACATATACAAGAGAAGTTCATGGATGGGTGACAGAGGGTGGGATTTGAAGTACAAGTTGAGGGATTTTCTCTTCCGAGCAGTTAAGGGCAGTTCTTCCATCAATATGGGAGGGAAATCAGAGTTGAAGTCTACAGAATAAGGAAGGTTAGTAGATTTGTGGTGGGAAGAAGTTATATGGTGGAATTTTAGAGAAATGTGGGTCATCAGGTCAATTGATACTCTGGAGTCTGCTCATTTGTAGGGTGACTGTTCTTTCCTGCAGTACTCAGTGGTGAAGTATTCTAGAGGGAGAATTAGTTCCTCCAGTTGCCTATGGACTATGATAAGCCTTTTAATAATACCCCTCCTGCAGTTCACAGTGGCTTCCCATTCACACTGCCTTAATTCAGGCCCTGTCTCTAGTCTCCACCAACCTACTTCTACCTTCCATATTGAGACCAGAGTGATTTTTGTAAAGCATCTCTTTTCAATCACTTTAGTGTTGAAAATTTCATCAGAAGTCTTCAGTCCCCATAAGATCAAATTCAGATCCCATAGCATGATGCCTACGGCCATTCATTCTCTGCCATTTGCCCTTTCTAACTCATCTACTACTTTTTCACCACTGTGACTTGTGCAAAAATCAGACTGATGTACTTAAGTTCCCCCAATATCTTGTGCTATCTTATGCTTCTGTGCCCATGCCTTATGCTTGCCTCTGTCCATAATGGCAGGTATCTTTTTGTCTGTAGGTTGAACTCCTCATTCTGGAATCACCTCAAATGTTGTCTCTTCTGAGAAGTCTTTTTTGTCCTGTTTAGTGGAGTTCAGCAAGTTCCCTCTGTGCTCCCATAGTGCCTTTCTTAGTTGTGTAACAATAATTGATTGTGTGGCTCTGGAAGGCAGAGATCTGGTTCTCTTCCATCTGGATATCTCCATATCTGACATAGTGCTCAGAAAATAACTGTTTGATCAATGCATAAACTGTTGAATGAGAGAAATTGAGGTTTTGATGTTCCTAGTGTGGGCAATGGAATATATACACAGAGATGCCATTAAACATGATAATGAATACGCATGAGATTCAGGTTTGGGGAATGGGAAGAGGAATGATGTAGCCAACACACATGAAAAGGATGGGAAGACATTCCGTGTTGGTAGCTGAAGGGCACACAAGCATGATGCTCGAGGAAGTCACGACAGTACTATGTCTTTGTCTCTTCTCATTAGTCTTAAGCTTGTAAATTTTCACTGTACACTGTGCAAACTGAATAGCCGGCTTAGTATTATTTTTGCACTATCTATTCAGAGATGGGTATGTGTTTCACCTCAGAAATCTATAATGCATGCATGTATAATTAACATGAGATCTGCTTGAGGAGTGCAGTAGACCCGTGTTCATGGGCAATCATTTGCATTCTTTTTTTTTTTTTTAAGATTTTATTTATTTATGTTAGAGATTGAGCGAGCATGATTGGGGGAGGAGCAGAGGTAGAAGGACAAGCAGACTCTGTGCTGAGTGTGGAGCCTGACGTGGGGCTTGATCCCATGACCCTGAGATCAGGACCTGAGCTGAAATTAAGAATCAGATGCCCAACTGACTGAGCCACCCAGGTGCCCCAATCATTTGCATTCTTGAGGATGTTTATGCTTATCTTATTCCACGTCTGAAATCTAGCCTTACCCTTACATAGGTGAGGCTCCAAGTAACTGCCTGATTTAATTAATTTATGATAAAGTTGACTCTGTTTTTACCAGTGTATCCATTGTCTCTCTCTCATTATCAGAATAATGGGACTCAGAAGGCTAGGAACACCAGTGAACCTAAGGGGAAGGGATCGAAGTGACTACCTGGCTTATTTCTTATCTAGGCTTTAACTTGATGGGTCAAGAAGTTCCTGTGGTTCACTTCCAGTCTAATTCAGCCTGCTAAACACATTGGTGCTAGGGATCAAAGACCTGAATGGTAATGAACAGGGTCAGTATGCTTGTGTGCCCTCTGCACAACCCCCATGAGCATTTGCAGCAGGGATAGTTGATAGGAGAGTTTGGGATTCTAACGACTGCTATAAATGGGCAGAGTAAGGCAGATACATGCACAAAGGACTGGAATTTGGGGAGCAGACTCTCCTGGGAACCTCCAACTATGGAAACAGCTGTAAATTTTATAGATAATGCTCCACATGGAGGAAACATGGTTCTCGTGCTGGAAAAAGGATAGGCGGAGACTCATGTTGGCAGGGATGGGAATTCATTTTCTGTGCCAGAACAGACTCTGTAAGAGCAGCTCCATGTCCGCTGGGTAACATCCTAGATGGAATAAGGAAGAATCTAGTCTTGCAAGGGAGGGAAATTTGTTTTCCAAAGAGGACTCGCACCAGAACAAGTAACCTTTCCTTGTGTGTGTATTTGGATTTGCTGACTGGGATGCCTTCACTGCCCTGTGTTATCTTTTTTGTTCTAAGTTTTGGCCAGGGATGGGAAGTGGACATGTTTTTCAGCTTTTATTACGAGAATCCAAATTTGGGTATCCAGAATGTCTACCACAGGGAGCTTTTGTTATTGGAATTTTCTTGACGTTTTATCACCAGTTTACTTATTACAATTCACAGTTCAAAGAGGACTTTAAGAGAACCCAAATTTGTGATTTCTTGATGCTGAGGAAGCCCGGTTCCTAGAGGTAGAGGGAACTATGAAAGCTTTCTTGGCCACCAAATATGATTATTGGCATGTGCACAGAAAATTGTTGCTTTGATTTTGAAAGGGGGTTTCTGGGAATTCAAGAAGAAAATGGGAAAAAATGATTATTGAAGTCAATACAGAAACTGTGGGAAAGCAAACAGGTCAGGAGACATTCAGATTCAGAAGATGGGTCTCTTCTTACTGTAATAGTTTAAGGTTTATAAGGCCGAGCTGAAGGGGTGAGGTAACTTCTGAGTGACTGAGGACCTCGGGGGAAGCAGGGTCAGATCCGATGTAGCAGCTGGACAAGGGGATAACCTAGCAGTGTGTGTGTGTTACCATTAACATGGGAAACATCGTTCATGTTCTAGTGAATTTTGAAGCTGAGGAAAGCAGTTTGGGAGAGCAGCTGGAGGGGAGTATCATGCATTTTTCTCGTGGCTCCTTAGGGGCAGACTTAGGAAGAAATGAGTGGAATGCCAAATTCTGAAGCCTGCAGAGAGGGATTTGACCCAAATGTGGACATAACGTGGAGACTTGACTTTGGTAATTGGAAATCACAAGCTGAAAACACTTCTGAATAAGAGTTATGGTTATGGGAATGGCAGAATTGGTCTGACTTTGTACTCTGGTAGAGAAATTCTGAAAGAAGAACCAAAGATTGGAATCGCAGAGAATATCAGGACCTGGAATTTAGAGGCTCGAATGCTATCATGTGGCTTGCCTTGTTCATAGGAAAGAGGAGAGTTCAGAATAGAGACTTCTCAGTTCTACGCTGGGTTCCAGGACCGAGGGAGAAGCCTTACGGGCAGAGTGTCATCAGGCAAGGAATTCTGCATGACCTCATGCCCACAAATGGAAGTGCTCTCCATATGTGACAGTAATCTCTCACCAGCATTGTCACCAGACATAAATGTGAGATTTCTTGGTCTAGACTTTAAAATAATAGAACTCTTCTCAAATTGCAGGCTGCTATACTGATCATGTTTAGTTCTGAGATTCCATGTGTTTCCAAATCTTATGGGTGTTATTTATATGTATTTTGACAGCTCCTGGGAACTCTGAACAGATTGTGCTCAATTTGGAGGAGTCCATCGTAACTTTCAATGGAAGTGTTCAAGGCTGCAGTTGTTCCTGGTTGCTCTTGCTCGAGAATAGACCCAGACCCCACCCAGGAACTGGGGTAAGACCCCTCCAGCTGAGATGGAGCCACATAGGAGAAAATTCAATCAACAGTTATTGGGGAGACACCTGCTTTGTGTCAGGCACTCTTCTATGCCCTCATAGTCAAGAACTTCGTCTCCTAGAACTTATGTTTTAGTGGAATGTGACAAACAATAAATATGGTGAAAAGAAATGTGTTGGAGGAAAAAAAAAAGGAGTAGGGTAGGGGGGTTAAGATGCTAAGGTGCTAAGCCTGGGTGCCATTTCCAGGGTTGGACTGGGCAGCTTGAATAGGTTTCATTTAGAAAATGACATTTAAGCAATGACTTGAATGAGTGAGGGGTTAGCCTTCTGGGGGAGGTGTGACGGAGAAAGTGAGCCTTTCAGACAGAGGTGCATAGTGCATCAGAGGAATAGGAGAGGGCACCACGGCAGGGAGGGAGGAGGTGCAGGAGGGAGGGAGGAGATCTTCGACATATTGAGGAAGACTGTCAGCAGCTGTAAGGATTTGGGATTTTATTGAGTGAAATGGGGAGACACATGGGGGATCCAAGTGAGGGGGTGACATGATTTGACATATTTTATAAGGACTATTCTCGAGTTTATACAGTTTGTGTGTAAGGGAGCAAGGGTAGAAAGATGGAAGCTCTGTGTAGGGTGGTAGCAGTGGGGTTGGTGAGAGGTGGCTGGGTTTGGGTATATACCAAAGGCAGATTTTGGGTGTTTCTCCAAGGCAGAGTAAAAGGATTTGCTGATGGATTGACATGCAAAGCGAGAGAGAGACGTGAATAAAGTTTTTTGGTGTGAGCCACTGTACGGAAGGAAGACCGTCTTCCTGAGGTGGGAAAGGATGTGGGTGCAGGAGGTTTGGAGTAGGGGGAACATTAGAAATCCAGTAATGAAAATGCTAATGCTAGATGCTTTTGCCCAATTCTGACACTTGTATCAGTGTGAACCAATCGAAGATTTATTTTGTTGAACATTAGTGTCTTTGTGGAACAAAGGAGTGACCAGACAAGGAGAGAATTTGTGGTATTCTGGGATGGGGAATATTGGCATATTGTGTAGAGATGACCTTGTAGCTCTTGGACTGAGGTGTTGCCTGTCAGCCACACTGTAACTTTGCTTAATAAACTTGATTCAATTAAAAATGAGGTAGAAATAAATAGGAAATTTGGCGTGGTGGCCCTGTAAGCCTGAGAAGCAGATTAAGCAAGTTATTTCAAGAGACATTTCTAAAAATCCATGGGACTGACCTGTCCATCTTGTTGGATCCTGGAACAGCAGGGGTATTATAGTAGCAAGCTTGCATGATGCTGAAAAGGCTTTTAGAATATGACACCCATCTCCTCCCTTTAGAACAGGAAGCCCTCTGCCTTATATTTTAAGGCCATCCAGCTGAATAAAACATGGCCAATATGAAGGAGTGTCCTTAGGAGAAGGAGAGCCCAGGACTCCTTTTCCTTCATCACACTGCCCTAATAACGCCGAAGAATCAAATCTGGGCTATAACGCAAATGAGTGGAGCTTTCTATGGGACGAGCGAAGATGGTACAAGCCCTGGGATCACTATGAAATGCGGTTTTGGCAGTTGAAATATTGTCTCTTAAAGTCCCACGCAGTTGGTGTGGCAAAATGTCTTGGGCCACTTCCTGCTGGGTGTGGTTGCTCTCGCCTTTGGAAGTCTCAGCAGGCCGCTGAAGTAAGACACCAGGACAGGGAGGCTCCTTCCGATGGGGACTTGTCTCTATGCTTTCTCTTACCAGGGGTAACCAGGGGTTACCAGGGGAGGTGACCAGACTCCAGTACAGTCCTGCTTTCATCTCCAGATCCCAGACCTCACTCCACCTCCAAGGACACTCTACTAAACTACTGCTGTACTTTTAATATTGGTCTGAAGTTTTAGTACTGTGATAGAATAAAGGGTTAGAAATCTAATGCATTAAAATATTCTGTATAAGAAAATTTAATTTTATATAATTGCAGAGTGTATAAATACGTTTATCTCATTTTTAAGATAATGAATGCACACTTGGACTAGAAGCACACAAGGTCTCAAATGAACTGTATTAGAACAAAAGTATCTTCAGTGTTAAAACAGATATAATCTCTCATTAAGCTCATAGTGGCCAAATAGGTTTATTCTTAAGCCTTCTTATCTGATTTTTTTCTCTTATCAGCATTTTGGAGGCAATAGTACACATAACTGTAGCCACAGGACTCATGCTATCAAGATTTAAAGGAGTGCAGTTAAAAGACCTCCCACGTGGCTTTGAAATGGTAATATTAAATACATTTGAGTGCTATACAAGTAAAATTAGCCATAGGTAATTAAATATGGTTCACTTGATGATTATAGCCATATTCCAGACTATGTGGAAGACTCGAACTCTCTGTAAACAAAAGTATGATTATTTTCATTTCAAAGACCAAAGCTGAAAGTAGGACCCCACAGGAGGTCTGTCACCCACTAGCTTGCACATGTGACTGTGTAAAAATAACTTTCTGAGGGCAAAGATCGATGGCGTTCTTTAAAGAAGAACATAGGGACTCAATAACTAATTAGCTTATGTCTCCCTGTTCCTGTAATTGCAAGCCATGCTGGAATCAACTTCCTGAAAGTGTGAAATAGCTATTACTGTACGGCTTGCTTCTACCACCAAACTCTATTTTTACACTTGGGATATTTCTTTTCTATGGACTTAGTTCAGCCAAAAATTTATATAAGAATTCTCTCTTATGTCCAAAATATAAATATAACATCCTTCTCTAGGGTGAAACTAACAATTTTAAGACGAATATGAGGAAAAGGTTCAGGTTGATGAGCTGAATGTTAGAAGTCAAGAGCTCTCGACTCTCTTTTTTATCTTCAAAACAGACCTGTGCCAATTCTCATTCTGGAATAGGCATCTCATAATTTACTTCACTTTTTTAACCTGCAAAATGGCACAGTAGACATCTATATATACAGTATCATCAACTCAAACTCATTGGAAAGATTCATGCAAGTGAATTGATTTGGAGAGAGAGTCTGGCTTTATCGTAAGTGACATTTTTAAATAGACAGCTGGGTAGAAGTAACATAGCAACATAAAGATAGACTTGTATTTTCATAAAACTTCATCACAACTAGTTGAAAAATGGAAAAGAAAAAACCCACACAATCCAACCAGGTAATTTGATCTACTTAATATCAAATATTTTTTTAATAAATTGTCAGTTGCACTGATTATAGAAGTAGGGTCTTGTCTTTCTTTTTTTTTTTTTCAGATTTTATTTATTTATTTGTCAGAGAGAGAGAGAAAGAGCACAAGCAGGGGGAGCATCAGGCAGAGCCAAAGCAGAGCTCCCCGCTGAGCAGGGAGCCCAATGCAGGGCTCCATCCCAGGACCCTGGGATCATGACCTGAGCCAAAGGCAGACGCTTAACGGACTGAGGCACCCAGGAGTCTCAGGGTCTTGTCTTTCCCTGCTTTGTTCACTGTTGGCTGACAGTGTGTAAAAGTGAGGCCACATTTGACATGTAGTCATGATCACAGAAACTTTTAGACCTAGTCATCTGGGATGACTACACCTGGATGACTCCCTCTCATTCTTCAGGCCTTAAATATCATGTCCTCAGACAGGTCTTTGTTGACACCCTCTGTCTAAAGAAGCCTTTTCTCTTAGCACTTTCTCTCTTAAAATCACTTTGTTTCGTTGTTTTATTTTATTTTATTTTAAAGATTTTATTTATTTTAGAGAGAGAGAAACAGAGAGATAGTGTGCACATGTGGAGGGGAGGGGCAGAGGGAGAGAGAGAGAGAGAAACCTAAGCAGACCATGCTGAACACAGAGCCCAATGCGGGGCTTGATCTCATGACCTTGAGATCAGACCTGAGCTGACTCTCAACTGACTGCGCCACCCAGTGGTGCAGGCGCCCCTGTTTCATTCCTTTAGAACACTTAACAGTTTGGGGCACCTAGGTGCCTCAGTCATTAAGCGTCTGCCTTCAGGTCAGGTCCTGGGATCGAGCCCCACATTGAGCCCCACATGGGGCTCCCTGCTCGGCGGGAAGCCTGCTTGTCCATCTCCCACTCCCCCTGCTTGTGCTCCCTTTCTCACTGTGTCTCTCTCTGTCAAATAAATAAGTAAATAAAATCTTAAAAAAAACACGATTTTTAATAATCATGTTTTTAAGATGTTTGGGGTAATTGTCTGTTTTTCTCCTCCAGGATGGATGTTCCATGAGGACCTTGCTTATCTTGTCTGTCAATGTCTAGCTCAATGCTGGGCACATGGAAGATACTCAGGAAATAATTGCCAAATGACTGGAATAATGAACAAAGAAGATCGAGCACTGCCAAGGTCAGTCAATAATGGTCCTATATAGTTGATCAATTATATGTTGGTACAATGGGGGAATACAAAGAGTTGTATGTCCTCTAATAACTGTGTTTTATTTAGAGAAGTCAGGCACTTGAAGCACATATAGTTGTATAAGAAGCATTGTATAAACGAGGGGTGCAAAAAAATAACTGTCTTTCCAAGCCTGATTTCTATTTTGAGAACTGATTCAGTGGGTAGAAACAATTTGGTGTCACTCCCACTGAGTTAGATTTAATTTCAGGTGGCTGACATATTGACAGAGTCTTCAGTGGTTCTATTAGTATACCAGTCTGATGACAGCTATTAGTCACAATGGCCCCGGGTGAGATGCCCATCACCCATTATTTGATCTATCCTGGTCAGATAAAACACTCTTCATTTCTGTCCTGAGAGGTTCCTCCAAGCGTTGTCGTCTTTCACATAATTGAGCCTTGCTCATCAGTCCCATGTCTCTTTTCTGGCCCAGAGAAATAGGGAAAGACAGAGTGGAAGCCTTGTGATTTTTAATGGTTTGAAATAGGAACCATTTATTTGCTCCCAGTTCTGCTGGTCAGCAACTTGGGCAAGGCGGAGAGCGTTTCATCACTACTTCGCATCGTGTTGGCGGGACTCATTTGTTGATGGGCAGATAGGCTGGACCTGGCCTGTTCCGAACCACTTCACTCACATGTCTGACGGTTGCATGGGACTGTCAGCCAACCCATCTTAGTTCTCGTCCATGTGATCTCTCCATATGGCAAAGGAGTCCCCCCTAAAGGTAAGACCTAATGCACAAGCACTTAACTAGCTTCTGTTTGCCCTGCATTTGCTGATGTGCCATTGGCCAAAGAAAGTTACATAGCCAATCCCAGAATCAGTAAAGGAGAGAGGATTACACAAGGGGGTGGACACCAGGAAAAGTGAGTCATTAAAGGGAACAAGCTAGATGATGTTTGCAGGCAACAATAGACTAGGAGCTCTATCCTTTACAAATACTGTTATGTTCTCAAATATGATTAAGACAAAGCAGCCCAGAGATCACATAATTAAAATGGAGAGGTACAGGGCCCTGGTTTTGTGTTAATGCTTTCATGTCTGAGGCAGTGTTCCCTGAGAGTTCATTGTTAGAAGCATCAGTATGAAATCCAAGGCAGAATAAAAGGCCTTGTTAAGTAAATCCTTGCTCTAAAAAAGTGATGCCACCAAATATTGAGAACAACAACTCACATCCATCCTGAGGAACAAAGAACACATCAGGAATTAAACAAGCCTTTGCAGCTACTTAGAAAATCATTAGTTTAGCAAATCTTTCTTATGTAATTGGTATTTGAGGCAGTTTAGTGGAAAGGGATGTTATTTTGCTTTTATTAAGCATCAAATATTTAATGCATTCACGTAACACATTTTGAGAAAAATCACCCTTATCCAGTGGGCAATCTTGACTGCACCATGCTATCAAACTTTATTGCTCATTTTGCAGTCATGAGGGACAGTTCATAGTTTTAATGAAACAGGAAATATTTTGATTAGCATTGCAATTTTTATTGAAACATTTATAGTATTCTAAAATGATTAAGTAGCCATAATTAATGCAATATTCATTTCTTATTGTAAAATAAAGATGGTTATTATCATCAGGCAGTGAAAGATAAAATGGGTTGCTTTAAATGGAATCAAGTCATGAAATAGAATACACGGATTGTAACAAAGCCACTTCCCTAATGGGTTCGCTGCTCATACTCAGTGTCCAGGGTTCTCTAGGAGTGCAAACATCACACAAAACCCAGGGGTTTTCTGGATGTTACTGGAAGTCGATGGATGAGACTAGTTTTGTGAAATAAAGTGAAACAACAACCTCCCGGGCAGAAAGCAAGGAGCTTTCTGAGTGCGTCTTTCAGTGATTGATGAAACTGAGTTAGATGACAAGATAACAATATCTAATCTAATCTAACCATCCCCCAAATCATTATTTCAGCCATATCTTAGCATAGGACAGAGAAGAGCAACTCAGGTTTAATGTATTTGCTATGTGTCAAGAACTGCTCTGATTTCTTCATACGTATTATTTCCCTTAGACACTGGAAAACTCCGTGTCTGCCAAATGATGCATGATATTGTTGACTAAGTGACAAAAAAGTTCTTAGACTCTCTCTGCCATATTGTATGTAGAACAGACAGTAAAGAAATGGAAAATGAAAGGGGGGATGATTTTTATATTGCTTTCCCCCTGAAAACCTCTGTTGTTTATTGTTTATTAGTACAATTCTGGATTTCCTTAAAGTGTATTGGTCTGCTACATAGTTACCTTTACATAAGGGGAATCCAGAGGATGAAATACACACTTAACTTTTCAGCTCTGCTTCTTTATGGTCATCGTCAAAATTACTTATATGTTCAATGTTCAGCTTGGTAACAGATTCCCTTTTGAACACTATATGCTATACTCTTGGCAAATGGACATTTGCATAATTTTCAGTTTGGGGCTATTGGAATAGTGCGGGTATGAATATTCTGGTGTATGTTTCTGGAAGAATACACATTTTGGTTGGTTCTATGCTCTTATGTCCAAAATATAAATATGTGCAAATGGTCAATTTTGGTAGACACAACCAATTTTCTAAAATTAAATCAACTATATTCCACCATCATGTATGAGAGTCTGGTTACTTAATATCTTCACCAGCATTTACAAATGTTTTCTCTTTTCCATCTAGCCATTCTCTTGTGCATGTGATTGCATTGTGGTTTTAATTTTCTTTCCCCTCATGGCCAGTGGAATAATCACCTTTTCATATGTTTATTGACTATTTGTGCACACTGTTTAGAATTTTTAAAGAGCACTTTTATTTGCATAAAGGGGAGGTACTTGGGGGGTAGTTTTTTTCTGATAGCCTCAGCCAAAAAGTCATTTATTCACAGTTGGTAAATTCACTGAGCCAGCAGGATTAGGTACTGTGACTGACCAGCTGAGTGGTCTGTAGTATTCCATTTACCTGGTGTTCATAATAGAGTTGTCTTGTTTTGTTTCTTTAGGGTAAGACTGTATCGTGAACATTTTCTGCAACTTTTCCCCTACAATAGCACAGATCTATTTAATTTTATTTAATGACTGAATAGTAGTCAGTATGTCATCTCACAGAACACAGAACTTATCCAACCAGCCCCTTCTTGGTGGACATTCAAGTTATTTTTATTTTTTTACTATCATCAAAAATGGTTCAAGTGATATCATTGTGAATTTGTATGATTTCTGTGAGTAAATACCTAAAAGTGGGATCTCTGGTTCAAAGGTGGTACATATTTAAAATTTTTAATTAATGGCAACGTGAGGTCCTCCAAAAAGATGGCATGAATGTAATAAAGTAAAGAATTCTCTGTTCCTTGCTACCACACCAATATTGGTTAATGTCAATAATTTTATTTTTACCAAACAGCTGAGTGAGAGATGATATACATTTTCTTGAATTTACTTATGTCTTTTATATTTTTCTTCTGTAAATTGCCTGTTTATATTCTTTGCTCAGGGTTACATAGTTCAGCTTTTTCAGGGGCGAGGTAGTTGAAGTAAATAAAGGACTGAGGCAGGTGTAAGACAGTGGGGAGCGAGGGGGTGTTGCAGAACTGCCTCACCACTCATTTCACATAGGATTCCTGTTTATCTTTTTGCTCATCCATTGCAGCCTTTTGTCTGGTACTTCTTCGTGTCTTCTACTATGTTTTTAATTTTTCAAAGAGCCATTTTTTTTTGTGGTTATATTCTGAATAAAACAGACTTCAATTTTTAACTTTCAGATACTGTGTTAGAATTATGTCTTTTCTTCAGTTTTAGTTTGATTTATATTGTTATTATTTTCGCCTATCCTATTAAGTTGAATTCATTTTTAGTCCTTTTTGGTTAATAATTAAAGGTCAGCTGCGAAGAGTTTGACCACTCTTCGCCTAGGACATAAAAAAATTTCCAAAAAGGAGACTCAAATAATCTTTAAAAGTAGGATGTGGCTAAAACCATATTAGAGGAGACTTCATAGCCTGACATATTTTAAGCCGGCAAGGTTGAAGTCTTTCTTTCACCAATATCCACAGATGCAAATGGCATCATTTTAGTAAATTCCCATTAATCTTGGCTCTAGGTATTTGGAACTTTTAGCAATGATGACAGAATTTGAATAGAATCTTCCCTATACTTCACAAATCCATTATAGATTATGAGTCTAACTGGTATAAACAGACTCATAGAGAATATATATATATATCTATTTAGAAATCTTGTTAGAAAACTTGTCTTAAGCACCTTCTGACAATTTGACCCTGCTTGTTAAGTATGAATAGTTTGTGCACTAATTACTGATAACTTGTATGAATTGGAAAAATCAGCTAGCACTTGGTTGATGTAATTTAAATTGGGGTGTGTGTGTGTGTGTGTGTGTGTGTGTGTATTTAATGAATGAATGCTTGTAAAAAATGAGGGTAATTTATTTTTGTGTGATAGTAAAAGTGAATGTGTTTCTTCCTTTTATTCCGTTTCTGTTCTCTTCCTTAGAAGGCAATTACTGTTAACATTTGGTTGTATATACTTCTAGGACCTTCTCTATACACTTATGTTTATAGAAACATGACTCTTAAATTAGGGATATGGGCATACAGGTGCAGTTTTTAAAATATGCAAATGGAATTCTATCGTGGCTCTTTTTATTTCACCTATCTTTGTGATCTTTGCCCATTTGCACAGGTATGGTCTCCTCATTTCTCTTACTGGCTTCATAATATTCCACATATATGCACAATAATGTATTTATCGGAAAACATTTAGAGTAGTCTTTTTTTTTTTTAAAGATTTTATTTATTTATTTGACAGAGAGTGAGTAGTGAGAGCAGGAGCACAAGCAGGGGGAGTAGGAGAGGGAGAAGCAGACTTCCCGCTGAGCAGGGAGCCCAGTGCGGGGCTTGGTCCCAGGACCCTGGGACCATGACCTGAGCCAAAGGCAGATGCTTAACAACTG